GGGATGATCAAAGAGACATAGCAAAAGATAATTTAGGTTTTGAAATACCAATATTTTATAATGATTCTATTGGTGGAAGAGATACTAATTTTGTTATAGGTTATATTGTTGGAGATGGATTGATGTTCCAATCATTAAAACATCAATCAAAAGGAGATGTTTATATTGGAATTAGTGAATTTTCAAGTGTTGATTTTACTAATACTTCATATTTCAAAATTAATGATTTCTTAAGGGTCAGAAATTTAACTCAGGCACATTTTGATGGTAAGACTGATGATTATTTCGCGGAGCCAATGTATCTTAATTGTTTGTTGACACACTCTGATGAAAATAACTTGGTATTTGATTTTACAAATACATACACATTTTGTAAATTGAGTGCTGAACAATTAGCTTCTTTAGGACCAGATGACGCTATCTTCCCTATATATCGTTTACCAAAAGATCAGATTAAAAAAGAATATCCGTCAGAAAAAGAAACATCAAAAATTGTTGCTATTGTTGTTCCAAGTGTTCTTGCAGTGATAATTATTATTATTGCCATAATTGTTCTTGTTGTTGGAATTATTAAATATAGAACATATAAAGGACGTCAAATGTTAAAAGAATATGATGAAAATGAATTGTCTTCACTTGGTGGTCCTCTAATTCAGTATGATTAAAATATTTTCAATTTAAATTATAGAGTTACAGTTTAATATTTATTTGTTTACAGTGATATAAAAAAGTATTTTGATTTTTTTACTGTCATCTCAAATAGGCATACAATTATTTTTTATATTTGCTAAGAAGATAGTTTACTTCCATCAATTTCTTCATTTATTGTAATAATTTTCTTTTATTTTCACTTAAGTAATACAAACCAATTTGAGTATATTAAATAATAAATTAATAAATTCATTGAATAATTCTTTTATATTTTTTTCATTTTTTCTGTTATTACTTTTTTACTCAAAACTATTCTTAACTAATAAATATATTACTAAGTATTTTGTTTTAACAATCACATATCTAAAAAGAGATGATAGCATCATATCATTAATCTATTCATTTGTTAGAAAGAGATATCAGTTATTAATTTAAAATGAGTAAATTGTTCAAGGACCATTCAATGGAATTTAGTTTTAATATTAAATTAAATATTGCTCTCTCTGAAACAATGGGTTCATCCATTTCTTTAGCTAATCAAAAGTATATTCACTATATCATAAAGCACACTTTTAACAAAGACATTCGTGTGATATCAGTAAGAATAAAAAATAAATTACAGTATGGTTGTTATACTGAGATTTTAAAAACATTAATTCTTTATCATATTCTATCACGAGAGGGTTCTTCTAATTTATTTGCACAAATTTCTGATTTGAATCCACGTCCAATAAAGAAAATTAAAGATATCACAGACTTTGATACATCAAAATATTCTTATTGGGTTTTTCATTATTTATTACCACTTCAAAAATCATTATCATTTCATAGAAAATATCCATTCTTTACTGGAAAATTTGTTCTTCCAAATGGGACAAGTCTACCTTCTTCACAACAAAATATTTATTCTATCTCTGTTATTCTTGAAGACCTTGTTAATATTTTCTATTCTTATAATTCTTTAATTTTAGATTTCTTCAGTAAAAAAACATCAAATGTGATATTGCACCAAATGGTATTATTATGTATTCAAGACATCTTTGCTATTTATTCTTTAATAATAGAACTTGTCAATTGCCATGTGTTTTTGTCTCATATTCCCTTTGACCCATCTTCATATCAAATGACTGGGATGAAGTCAAATCTTGATTTGATCACTTCCTGTTCTTCTCAAGATAATAGATTAGCTTCTCTCATACACTTAAACGCTATTGACCCAATTCCAATAAACCCAATCACAAATAAATCATTTTTTAAGCGCTATGGTCTTGAGAACATAATTTCTAATGATCAGCCAATAGCTGAACCCCCATTAGATACATCAAATGACGCTCTAGGTTGTTTAGTTTTAGAATAATTGAAAATAGCTAAAACAAAATTTTTGTTTTTGAAGTTAGTAAGAATTCAATTATTAATCATCCATGAGATTGGAATGTTGTGTGTTGTTTGATGGTCGAATGAATACATAAAGAATATATCCAATAGCAATGATAACTGGAATGATTATAATACTATAAATCCATTTCATTGATTTCTTTTGATTTTTCCAATGTTCAGGAACTGTGAATGTTTCCCTTCCTCTAATATTTAATCCATCGGATAAACACTTTGCATCCTTTCTATTAATAAATAACCATTGTTCATTACATTCAATAGAACTTTTTAACTTCATTCTCTTTGTTCCACTAACTAACTCAATATTAGTATTAATTGTTTCTATTT